TAATGATAGTTGCTTAAAGTTGCATGCGTAATAGAACTTACTTCCAAAAAAATGATCGAATATTTGTCAAATAAAAAAAAATAAATTAAAAATATTTTCTTTTTAATGTTCGTAACCTAATTAGTTTAATTTACTTTTTTTTGACCAAACTGGAAAAAAGTTGAAACGCTTCCAAAAAAATATTTTACTTTTGACAAACGTGAAACTGAGAATTATGAAGGATGAGTAAAATTCAGAAAACCTAGGTAATTCATAATTTTAGAACTCTTGGTGTGCATAAAACTGAGATTAACAAGGCAAATTTGCAGGTAACCCTAAATGCAGCTATGGCATTATATTTATCATTTTTAAAGCATCGAATGAGAAAACAAGTTGAAAATTACCGCTCTAAAACCGAGTCCTCCAGCACAAACTATTTTTGCCCGCTTTTAAATACAGATATTTTGACTGCAAACAGTGTTCAGTATTATTAAAACATTTTTTTAACACATAAACTCTTTTTATTCCTCTTTCAGTTTTGTACATTCTTTTGTACTTTGACCCCCTCTTTAAAATTCAGAAAGCGAAACATTGTAGGCTGAGTTCTCGCATTTCAAATTAAATTTAGAGAAGAAAAAGGTAAATAAAATTTTGCTCATTCTTTCACTGAAAAACTAAAACAAATATTTTAGCCGTAGAGCATTTGATATGTAGATGCAACATTATTTTAATTCTAGCAACAATACAAACTGCTGCCTGTAGTTAGCAAAAGTTGCCAAAATGAACCAAAAAACTGGAAGTGTTGAAGAGTCAAGCTAAAAATAAAAGTTTAAAAATAAGGTAAGCGAAAATTTTGTGGAAGACATATCATTGATTCCAGAAATTTTTGTTTAATGGCATTTTTTAAATTAACATTAAACGATTTCACAACACTTTCAATTAGTAAGACTAAAATACAGAAAAAAAATTATACAGACATCTAAGATGAGGATTTATTTGAAAACCGTTGCGCTCAAAAAAAAAAAAAAAAAAAAAAAATTAATTTAGTTATCAGTGTTTTTTCTCGCACCTTAGCTGTTCTGTTTAAATCAAATGCTTTATTTCGTTTTGTTTTGCTCTTTACACTATGTAGTAAATCCGAGAACGATCAAAAGTTACACTAATGAAATTTATTTGATTACGATAATAATCCTTTTGCAATGGACAGTAATGCACTATAAAAACCAAGTTTCTGTTGTGAACCTATGATCAAACAAAACTGTTATATATTTTTATTTCAACGTATCAACCCGTGCAAGAAAATTGATCAATTGCCATTCTCAAGCTACTTCATTAGCTGCTTATTATCAACCAACAGAAGTCATCAGTTTATCAGCTTTAGCCTACTCTTCCGCATATATCGTTCTTTTACGCTGAATTAACTAATCCATTTAACTTTACGTTTAATAGCTGCAACCAGTTTTTTGCAACATTACTGCTTTTTAACCAAAGCCGGTTGAAAAGTCACCAATTGTTGTAAGTGATAGTTTACTAAATATCAAGTAAAGCCTCTAAACAATGTCATTTAGTATTGTCGATGTTAGGTATTGATGTTAGTGAATATAACAGTAATAGAAATTTTTGTAGACAGTTTACGTTTAAAATGTTGTAATTCAACAACGTTATTTTGTTGCTTTGCTTTCTATGCATTAGAATAAAGCATAATCAGGTGTTTATTTTTTAAAGCATATAACTAGAATCAAAAATGGCTTTGTATATCAATATTGTAACCACTACTATTTTCAAAGTGCTTCGCAACGATTTAGTGCTGACGAAATCCCCACTTTTTCCTTAATTTAGTCATTTTTACAATTAACGGTCAAAAATCTTTAAAGATCAATTGTAAGCAAAGGTCTAAATTGAAATTCTCAAAGTAGATAATAATTCATTTTTGTTTGCAGCATCAGCTGACAGAAAAGTTTACTTTTATATATTTCTAAATGGGTATTCGACTACAAACGGCTTTATTAGTAGCTTTTTTAACAGCCTAAACTGTACTATTGTTAACAGGCATGCAGCAAACGCTAAAGCCGTCTGCTTTATTAGCTCTGATTAACTTTTAAAACTATCAGACTTCAGTTGAGCTGTGTAGATTATTTTCTTCATTTTTTGTTAAATACAACTCTAAAAGTTTTTGGCCGACTGTAATCAATCAACAAAAGAAATTTTTTTTACGTTCACATAGTAAACCATTTTAAATGTCCTTAAATTAGTGCAGTAACAAGCACTTTGAACCAAAGAAAGCAAACGAAAAAAGATGAGGTAAAAAATCTAAAACTATAAGTTATCTGCTTTAGACGTCTAATCTTTTACGCGCCGTCATTATTTGATCAAAAACGAACATTTTTCTTGAAAGCTGCTTTTTCATACTTAGCGTATCATGGTTTTCATCACTCTTTAGGTCGTGCAACTAAAATTTTTATGTAATGTGTTTTGGGTAACTAGTTTAGAATTAATGAAAAGTAATATGTAGAAAAAAACTATAACATCAGCAAGTTGTAGAAGGTTTCTGGCAATAACGAAAGCTTACTTCTCGTAAAAGTTTTTTTCAAATAAGAATATTGATAAAAGTTAGTAAGCACTGCTTCAGTTTTTTCAGTAATAACACTTTGTAATCACTTGCTTAAAAGTGTAAATATTATTTCAGACTACAAGTATATAATGTGACTTATAAGAATTTGCTGAATTACAAGTTTATTCGAAGCAACCTAATGGTTATTTATTTCAGCGTTGGGGATACTCTTTTAGATAATTTTAAAATTTTTTGCTCGGTAGTGGCGGATATTATTCTGTTTAAAAATGCAAGAAATTCTACATCACAATAAAAACATTCTACAAGAAAAAGTAATTTTTTTTAAATTTTGCATTATTATTACATACTTGTTCTTTTCTTCTAAACAGTTCACGCAGTGACAGGCATGCTAAATCTTTACTTTAACTTTTCCCTTCTCAAAGTTAGATGGCAACAGTTCAAAAAAAACCGCTAACAGAAGAAATTAGCTTAAGAAATAAGCAAATAATCGAATTCATAGCAGGGTTCTGAAGATGGAAATTCTGTCAGTGAATAAAAGTATTTCAAAACATTGTTACTGTTGTTCTAAATTTTTCGGCCAATAGCTGTAAACTTCAACTTTTCTGTTGTAATTTTAAATAGATCGTTACATCTTCATTGCATCTGGTTCTACGCTCTCTAAATTACCACTTCCAAATTCGAGAGGTGGTTTTATTCCTGCTGTGACATCCTCTTTACCGACATAATTTTTATTGGTAAAAGATGAATTCGTACTTGAATTTGAAGTTTTTTGTTTTGCTTGTTTCTGAAAGATGGTTGACAGCTGTTAAACTCTTTAATAGTTAAAACCATTTATTTTATGTTCTCTTGAAAAAACAATTTTGATATAAAGCCGCTGCTATTTGACGTTCTAGAATAAAATAATAGCAATTTCTTCGTGATTATTAACGCTGTTCACTGCATTAATTTTTATATTATAGAATGAATGCTTGCCAATCGGCTAAAGATAGGTTAAAAAACAGCACGAAATGTACATCCACTAAAGAAATTCTTAAGCTGAAAAAAGTGAGAGGTTTGTTCAGCAATTTAAGAAACATCTTGTAAGATGCTTTGAAGTATCGTAAGCCATTTTCCAAAGTAGTGAATTTGTAAATGACGGTATCCTCAGTAGGAAACTAGTGTTGTAAAACCAAAAGTTTTCTGTAGTAGCACTTAAATGCTTGCAGGAGTAAATGTAGTACGTTTTCTTTGTTGTTAGAACAGAAAATGTCAAGAAAAGAATTCGAAGTTTACCTAACTTTCCTCATATAGTCTACTTAGTGAGTTTTACTACACAATAACCTTTTTGTTCTATAATTTAAAGAAAAGTGACAAAGTAAAAAGTAGCCAGAAACTTCTTGAACTTTTATCTCCAATTTACGTCTCGCTGAGAGCAGAGAAAGCATTACCAGTTACGGCCAGAGAATCTACTTGGATAAATAGTGGTTCTACGCTTGTACAGTTACTTCTTAATCTAGTTCAGAAAATTCTTAGCTCAGGTTTCAATCATTTTGATGTCTTAGGCTTTCATTTTTTCATGACTAGTTAAAGGATAATATTCCAGTGATCTATTTTAACTCTCACGTACCTAAGAATTTGGTTTATCGATTAAATTCCTTGCTATTATTCTAATTTCTCAATGCTTCCAAAAATAATTTTTGCTGTATAACGATAAAGTTTCTCTGATCCTGAGGGACTAGCAGTTCAGTACTTTAAACTGTTTACAGTTTATTCGATAGGTGCGCAACAATTTAAATAAATAACATTTTTACTACACGTTTTTTGGTCTTTTAAGAAAATTTTCAAACTGCCTGTACGTCGCCTAATAATTGCTTACCTCTAATTTTGAAACTTCATTCATATGACGCCGTTTCCAGCCAATATTCTAATGAGAAATTTCAACTGCCAAATGCAAGGGTTAGCGATGAATAAATTTCAATGCTTAAGCCAATTGCCGTTTTCAGTTTCTTATATGCAGACATTCCAAAGTAATAGTTTTGCGAAAAAATTACAAATAAAAATGCGGTAACAAAATTGTACGCTTCACCAGCAGAACTGATTCTGCTCTTCTTAGTACAGGCATTACACCTTTTACATACAGGAGAAATATATCCTCTTGTCAAAAAAATTAACAAACTATTATTTGAATCAGGCAACCATTCAAAAGACAGAAACAGTAGAACAAAGTGCATAAAAGTTTAGTTTTTTATTTATACAGTTTAACTACCAGAAAGTCGGTTGCGCAGCTGGGAGTCGTATTTTTTCTTGCCTCTGATTTCTTCTTGCTCAGCCTATTTACCAGACGGCCACGAGCCTCCACCAACATCACATCTGCTGCAAACACACACCGGTCTTCCGCTCCTTTTTTCGCAGTGTCCTGTGCCGCAATTCTGAACAACAGGAAAAGATTTGTCATTAGAATGACTTATTTAAATAAAGTAAGTTGAATTTAACAATAAGTAAAGCTTAAATTCTGCTCTCACACTGTATCATTCAAAGCAGTACAAAAAAATGAAATTCTTTAACAATGCCAATAAGAAGAAACTGTGAATCAATTTTTGCACGAAAAGAGCTGTTTCACTTTTACAGTAAACATTAATCGGTTGCTTTTAGTAATTATTTTTTTCTCAATAATATTGGTTACCTGAAATTTACATGAGGAGATACAAAGACCTTGCGCAGCCTTGCTCATTCCAGGGACATCCATGCGGGCACACGATGTAAAAAGGATTTTTGTTTCAATTTTACCGAATAGCAATACCATAGCTATGAGGAGTACAGCAGCTTTCATTCTGAAACTGTTTTAAAATTTTCACTGACTTTTAAAAGCATAGTGTTCTTTGAAGAATAATGTAGCAGACTGACTTGGAGGACGATACCCTAATTCACTGGAAGGCAATAAGCGGTGAGGAAAAAAACCACTCTTTTGAATTTCTGATCTTTTTCTTCATTTACTGAGCTTATTTATACAATTTCTCTCAATAAAACCTTTCCAAGAAACTTTTTTTTACTTATCACTACTGTCAATGTTAGGCGGTGAATTGAGTCAGCAAAGTCTAAAGAACGAAAAGGAAGGCGAAGAAACACAGTAAAAAAATGCATTCAACAGGTGGCACAAATTTTAAATTAAAACTGTAAAGTAATTTTGTTTATTTAAACAGTTATTTGCGTAATAGCAGATTTATTTTTTGCATTCAACATTTACAGTCAAAAGCTTTTGGATAAAAAATATAAAATAAAAAGGTATATTTTGAAAAAATTTAAATAATACTTTCCTGCCTCAGTTATATTATTTTCTCTAGAAACTTTTATAAGCGTCTTTGTGACTAGTGAAGATCACTGAAAGTTTATTTACAAAATCGATATTTATTTTAAGCCAAAGTTAGCTGTTTAAGAAAATAGTGATCAAATTCCGTTTTAGTGATAAATTGTTCTGTGCAAATGCTAACCGTTTCTACCAGTTATCACACCTAAAGATAAAAAGCGTTTTCATTTTTTTTGCCACATACACTAAAAACAACTGCACGGTTCTTTATGACAGATGTTGTCTAAAAAATTTCCCTGTTTACAGCGCAATTGAAAACATTTGTTACATTCAGCATACTTTTCCGAGATGATTCAGATCACTTCAAAACATCGAGGTTTTCATACACTTCCCAAAGACTTTCTGTGTCAATTTGAACATTTAGTAACCTTTCCCACCAAGTGGAAATCATATTAAACAGTTTAATAAATTCTGCAGCTATTTCTTATAAATTTTTTTCTATTTTTTTTTTCTAGATATTGGAACAATTTCTATTAGTCAGACGATTGTTCGCATTTTTGCTCAGGTTACAAAGTGGTCTTTAGAAAAATTCTACACCGCTGCCAACAGCCGCTAAAGCGATTCAGCAGATAATCTGCTTTTTTTTTTGACCTTTTTTGTTAATCTGCCTTTTCTGAAGCTTTATCGTAACCTTTAAGATTTTTGATTTTCTATTCTACTCCTCTTTTTGCCGACCGCAAGTTGGGTAAAAGTATTTTAGTGGTTATCTACTGAATAAAAAATAGTATCCGGAAAATCAAAACGTTTATTAAAACTTCAAACTCTTCAAGATACTTCTGGAGCTAGTGTAATATTCTTGCTACAGCCAAAACGCTACAGTTGGCAAGTTAGTCAGAGTGAAAAAGAGAATCAGATTACAGCAAAGCGAAATAATGTGCTGCTTGCCTCCAGATAACACAGTCTTCAAAATAAGAAATGTTGACAGAGTAAGTGCTAGACTTTACAACTTACTGCCGCATCAGTTTAAATATAAAAATTTATTTTGATGTGACTTTTATTTATTTATTTATTTTTTTTTGTAAAGCAGCGCCCTGATTCCGTAAAAGCTAGAAAATTTCAGACTTTGAACATTTTCTAAGGTTTTTTGTTACTGATTTTATGCTTCTGTTTTTTTAATTTTTCTTTATTTCCCGTCATAATTCTCTTTTTTGCAACCAGTAGAATAAAGAAAGTTGCATCGGCGGCTACAAAACCCGACAAACCCCATCTCATACGGGTAGAGTCGTGTTGTCCTCATCTAAGCGGAAACTTTAAACTAATGTAGGAGATTCCAAAAAGAGAAATTTTCAAACCGTTTATTTTCAAAGTAAGAAAATTCCAAAGAAAGAGAGTAAAATTTGGGTAGTAGCGATAAGCTTTTGCTAAGGCAAACCAAGCATACGCGAAGGTTTCTGGAGCCAAATTGGAATATCACTCCGATTTATAGTATCATGGAATGAAAGAAAAGACTTTTTGCCACAGCCCAACTAAACCAAATGCTCACGAAGTCCAGTTTCAAAAACTATCATCTTCCTTTCAGAAGAAGTCAAAAGAACACTGAAAAAATGAGCAGAAAATCTATTAATTTGCATGTATTTCAAAAAATGAAAAGTATCAGAGTCCGTCATTTTTCACAAAAGTGCACTTTGTGAAGCGAACAACGTCGTAAAACCTCTTCAATAGTCAGGAAAGAGTTTTCCAATAGAACTTGCAAAATGCTTATTAATTTTTCCCATGATGATAAAAGTAGCTTACGTTTTTCTGCTAACAAAAATACAGCGAAATAAACAGATAAACAAAAAATTTTTTTCCATTTTTTTCTTTATTTATGAATTTAGAATTACTCGCCGATTTTAAATCTGGAGAAAAACGATAAACTAAAAGATAGCAAAAACTGCACACTTCAATCGATAGCTAGTTTTTATATTACAAAAATCCACAGATCTATACTTTGGTGAGTAAGTTCAATCAGTAGTGCTGTTTGTCGTGCCAAGATCAGAAGAGGTTAAAATAGTTAGGTACACGATCAAAAGCGAAAATGACACGAATGAAGCAGCATTAAGACGGTATACTATGCCAAACAAGATAGGAAAAGTTTTTTTGGTGTCTTTTTTTCTTTCTCAATTCTTTTTTTTCGCTCTCTAACTGTCGTTGGTTGGATGAATATGCTCAGCGATTTACTTGTCGAGAGAAGTGATCCAAAAAAAAAAAAA